GCCTTTTCATTTCTGGGCTACACACAAAGGCCAATCACCATATATACAAAAGGCTGGGGTATGCCTTCTTTCACCGTGTTCGCTCGAGCGTGGGTCGAGAATAATAGCTGAAAAGTGGGCTGAGGGATCACAATTTTTACGGTGGCTCTTACCGCTTTCGGTGAGAAGGGGTTAAAAACAAAAAGCCCATCTGATTTAATCAAAAACCAAGACATGACCATTTTCAGTGCACTTTTACACTTATGCTAGATGAGTGCTTTCATTTTTACTTTTCATATTTAATTCAAAAGCACACATTGATGAGATGTCGCTTCAATTTTAAATTTGTATGGTGTTTTTTCAGGCATAGTCCATTCAGGCAGCACAAGACAAAGGACAAGCATGAGATCGACAGAATGACTCTCACCATGGTAAACTCTCATCTTTTTGTTTTTTGTGAATCATTCTTACTAGCTTATACTATATTCAGTTATCTGCATTCAGGCACTGGGGGGGGGTACTACTTTACCTGGATAACCCTGTTCAGAATGTGTTTACACTCAATCCTGCCCCTACAGATATGTCCCATCTACACAGAAATTCACTCATGTATAGAGGTGGAAATCCATCCGGAATAAAAGGAAATAGTATTACAAACCTTTTGGTTGGATGAATCTCTATTCATTCACAAATCCCAGGAGATGTTACTTTCAACCAGTAATTTTGGGGTTTCTTGTAATTAAGATGTTAGTTGGAATTTGATAAATTCTCTAGAACACTTTTTCTTATGCATGTATTAGTACTTACACTTGACTACAACGCTTCCACACTGTAGCATATTATATACTTTGTCTATCACTGAGCTGACAAACAGGTGCCTTCAATCTCTCAACATATTAAAGACCTGAACACCCAACACTTTCACTTTTTTCATTGTTATAATGCACGACTACTGTTTAATACAAATGTTGTAGATACAGTTCAAGATCAATATTAGGCAACATTTCTTCCCATAGTGCCACCTCAATAATCCTTGCACTCTTACTGCATTTCATGTGAAGAGAGTTCATAGTGATGGGATAGTGGCCTTTACAAAATATTTAAAGAGAATATGACTTCCTGGAATATCACAGGTGTAATTCTCTTCATATTCTCTAGCTACAGATCATCACTATATGTATTTAATCTTTTAAATTAGGACGTGGAGTTTCCTGATTCCATGAGTGAGGAAATGCGGTCCTTGCTTGAAGGACTATTGCAACGAGACGTGCCAATGAGGTTAGGCTGCCAAGGAGGAGGAGCTCAGGAAGTCAAGGACCATGCATTCTTTAAGGGCATTGATTGGATCCAAGTGTCCTATCAGAAGGTTGGTACTGTAATGCATAGACACAGAATCCCTACTGTTACATGTATGGTGCACAGTTTACTCCGAACACATAAAATGACGTAGGTCAGTGTGACAGTTTCCACATGCTGATGTTATGCCCAACTTTTTAAGGCTCACTCAAACCTTTCCTTTGCTTTTTCCCATTGTGTCTATCTACTTTTGACCAAATTGTGGCTGAAATTGCACGAGACCCAAGTTATGTGTTGATCATAATTGTATACAGAAAGTCAGGCAAAGGTTAAGTTGATGCAGCAGAGCTGTATAAGAGCAGTGATTTG